AGCATTTAAATCAAGAAGAATAATTTTACCAACCAGGTAGACATCCTCAAGAATGTTACTGAAGAAAAGAGGAGCAGGTGATAGAATTCTATTGAGAAAGGAAAATCAAAGGATTTACAAAGCAGAAGCATGTCCAGTTTGTTGCAATATAAAAGGGATGAACTTCAGTAAAGGGAGGAGTTTATTGAGAAACATGGGTTAGCTATAATCCTCAATGACAACACTTCTAATGGATATGGATCACACACCAGTGGTTGGAACCATTAGTATTGTGTCTCAGTGAACTACCAAAGTCTTGGATTCAGTCGGAGAAGGGCTGCTTTTTTTCAAAGGGAAAGCTATGAAAACTTGATGGAGAAAAGGAAGAGCTACTATCATTGCTTAGAAAACTGATGCTGCAGTTTGAGAAGGAACAAGAGAAGTGCTATGCCATCATTCTTGGAGCACTTTTCCTGTTCTTTCTCTACGTATGAGAAAGTCTTTAATGCCTTAGGTTAGGTGGAGTGTTCTTAATTATGACACTAAATATGATCCATTAAAAATGAAAAATCGTATCTTATCAAATTTCAAAGCTTTTATACTTCAGAAACACCATGTTAGTAGGTGTTAAAAGACATGCAACAAACTGGTGGAAAGTACTGCAAAACATATTTCATAAAGACATATTTAGCACATACTTAGAATTCTCACACTTCAATCATGAAAAGATAAGCCAGTTTAAAACTAAACAAAAGATGTGAAGACACCATACCAAAATATGTATGAATAGCTAAAAAGCATATGAAAAGATGGTCATTAGGGAAATGCAAATTAAACCACAATGGAAAAGCATTTCATACACACTAGAATGGCTAAAATTAAAAAGACTTGCACACAAAAGTTTATTGCAACATAATTCATACTAACTAAATTTGGCAATAGCCTATATGTATATCAACTGATGAAAAATTAAACATAATGTGCTATATCCATATAGTTAAATATTAATCAAAATTAAAAAGGAACCCACTATGGAGATATGCTGTGACGTAGGTAAATCTCAAAGACCTTTATTCTCTAAATAAAAGAAACTGGGTGTACAAGACTGTACATTGTGTGATTGCATTTATATGAAATACCCAGAAAAGGCAAAGTTGTGAAGACAGAAAGTAGATTAGTGGTGCTCATAGCAGGAGTTAAGAGCTGCAATGGAAATTAAGAGTAACTGTTCATGAAAGATGATAGTGGGACAATAGATTCTAAGACTAATTTATGGTCATGAATGTACAGTTTGCTAAATATTAAAAATCCTAGATTTGTACACTTGATAAGGGTGTATTACATGTGACACAATATATGTTTCAGTAGAGTTATTTTAAAAATAAATAAATGTGACATAACATTGTACATGCCTTTTGAGTGTATGCCTAAATGTGAAATTGCTAGGTCCTAGGGGAGGCCTGTGTTTAGATTTAGTAGATTCTGCCAAACAGTTTCCAAAGTTTTTTTTAATTGATTTTTTTAAAAAAATAAATGACAGTGGAATGCATTACAATTCTTATTACACATATACAGCACAATTTTTCATATCTCTGGTTGTATATAAAGTATGTTGACATCAATTTGTGTCTTCATACATGTACTTTGGATAATGATGTCCATCACATTCCATCATCTTGCTACTACCCTGCCCCCTCCCATTCCCTCCCTCCCTCTACCCGATCTAGAATTCATCTATTCCTCCCATGCTCCCCCTCCCTATTCCACTATGAGTCAGCCTCCTTATATCAGAGAAAACAATCCGCATTTGTTTTGGGAGATTTGCTAACTTCACTTAACATTATCTTCACCAACGCCATCCATTTACCTGTAAATGCCATGATTTTATTCTCTTTTATTGCTGAGTAAAATTACATTGTGTATATATGCCATATTTTTTAAATCCATTCATCCACTGAAGGGCATCCAAAGTTTTAATAACAATTTTTTGTTCAACATCTATGCATCCTAATTTCTCTACATCTTTGCCATAATTTAGAACTGTTAGACTTTTAAATTTTAGCCATTGACAATGATTTTATATGTTAATCACTTACCAGTTTTGCATATATATTACTATATACATAGTTTGCTTAGTTCTCATTTTATTTATTATTTATATCTGTGTTGGTTTTTATCTCAATGTTTTTATTATGGTAAATTATACATAAGATAAAATTTACCATTTCAACTATTTTTAGGTTTGCATTTCATGGACATTGAAGTATGTTGTGACCCATCATCATCATCTATCTCCAGAATGTTTTCATTTTCTTGAACTGAAATTCTCTACCCACCAAACAGTAACTTTCATTCCCTCTCTGCCCCTATACTCTGGCAACCATGATTCTACTTTCTGTCTCTATGAATCTGACTAACCTAGGAAACTGACCTAAGTGTAATCATATGATATTTGCTCTTCTGAATCTGGCTTATTTCACTTAGCATAATGTTTTCAAGGTTCCTCTATGTCATACCATATGTCAGAATTTAATTCCTTTTTAAGGATAAGTAGTATTCCACTGCACAGGGCACATGAATGCATGTATACACACACACACACACACACACACACACACACACAATTTGCCCAGTCATCTATCACTGGACATTTGGGCTGTTTCTAATTGTTGGCTATTGTGATGCTGCTATGAATGTGGGTGTCAAATATCTGTTTGAGACCCTGCTTTCAAATTTTTGGATATTCAACCAATTCATGTTGAATTATATGGTAATTCTATGTTTAATATCTCAAAGAACTGCCATACTGCTTTCCACTATTCACATTATTACAGCACTTCCACTTTCTGCATTTTTAAAAGCTATGGATATGATATGAAATAGTATTTCATTGTGGTTTTTATTTTCGTTTTCTCATTAGTGATATTGATCATTCTTGCATATCCTTATTGGCCACTTGTTTCTTTTTAGAGAAATCTCTATTCAGGACCTTAGTCCATTTTTAAGTTGCTTTTGTAGTTTCTTGATTATTGATTTATAGCTCTTTATATATTTTAGATATTGATCTTCTGTTACACACATGATTTGCAAATATTTTCTCCCATGTTGTGTACAAGACCACACATTGTGTGATTGGATTTATATGAAATACCCAGAAAAGGCAAAGTTGTGATAGTAATGTCCTTTGATGTCTGTTGATAGTAATGTCCTTTGACAACAAAAATTTTAATTTTGAAGAAGTTCAAATTATCTTTGTTGTTGTTGTTGTCGTTGCCTATGCTTTGGTGTCATATCTTTTTGTTTTATGTAATGAAACACATCATTCCCCTTGTGGTTTCTATGGTTACATGTATGACCCTGAGGGCTCATCAGTCTTTTTTTTATTAATAAGAACATTAATAGATGATTAAAACTTTTCATCAGTCTTAAAATTAAGATACTTTCTCTTTGTCCTTTATAGTAGTTTAGTTTTACTACGTAACATATTTAAGTAACAATGAATTTTATTTTAAAATCACATTCTTGGAGAGTATTTAAGGACATTGGGATATGGTAATAAGAAAAAGTTTATAAACTAGTCTATCTAGTTTTATTTTTTAAAACCTTCAGCCTAAACACAAACATATGTATAAACAAATTAAAAAGAAAAGGTCCACATTGGTATTCTAAGGGTTGTGAGATTACTAGTGTTGTACCCTAAAAATGTCCTCATTTTGCAAATTTTCTAAAATGAACATATCTTTATTATCAGAAAATTACAGGGAATGTTGCAACTATAAAACCAGAAAAGGGAATATTTTAATGGGTGAGGCTATAACCACAGAACTAGCAGACTAAGCAATAAGCCTAAAAATTGAATTTTATAAATACTGTAATGTTATGCAGTACACAGAAATATAATAAGTAAAAAACAATGTGATTATAAACTGACAGAATCTGGAAATAAATAAAATATATAAGTAGTGTTCATCTCTGATAGGAATACAACCCAAAGTATTATTTAAATCTGAAAAATAATAGACACTTAAAAATTTAAAGCATGTTCAAATAATAAATAGTCAGCAGGGAAAATTTTCACAAAATGAACACCACCAATGATTCCTACGTAGAGGAAACTTTTAGTTACTGCGCATTATACCATCTTATGAATGAATAATCTATATCTCTTCAATGCCAAGATTAAGATTATTTTCCACTAACTTGAAAATGTCAAAAAAGTGATTTTTTAAAAAAAATATTACTTCACATTTTGGCTTTTCCTTTTAAAATTCTCAATGGCTTTTAAAGCAAGATCAAGAAAGAGGAAGTAAAATGTCAGTTTAGTACTGGGATTAGTGATAAACCAGGCAATGGTAAACTTAAATCTTGTGTGTCCACTAGTCATGTAGATGGATACACTACACTGACTCTTTATCAAAGGATCTTCACCTTCATCTGTATCTCACCTCCTCCTTCTCCCCCTCCCCACCCCGCAGAAAATATAAAATAATTTTCCGATTTAAAAATCATACAGCTTCTGGAAAATACAGAATATTGAATATTTAAGTCACTGGTGGTTACAGCATCCAAAGTCCAACAATGTTAATTTTTGGTATTTTTAAACCTCCTAGGGTCTCTTTGTAAGTTCCTCTACCACGCACCTCTTCCGTCCTCAGAGCTCCAGGCTAAAATCAAAGGGATGGCTTTAGGAGGAATGTGTGCCTTGCCTTCTCCAGTTCTGACATTTTTGTTATTGTTTTCTCTAAGCGCTTTTGAAATTATAAAATATAATAGCCAAAAGCTGAATGAATAAACTAATGAACATTGGGTTTCCAGAAAACTCCGTGGAGAAATGGGTTTGAGGATGACTGGAAATTGGATGAATCAGCCATATTAGTGAACCTGGGAAGGTAAGAGGAGTTGGAAACATGATAGATCTAATAATTTACTGGCTCAGGGTTTGTCAATCACTACATCCCGACAAATAAGATTAGAGCAGAGTTGTGGGAGGGGAGAGGGTGACGCAGCAAGCTGTATGCACCAAGAAAATTTAGCCAAGAGACAGCTGCGTAATCATATTGCGGCACCGTTTTTATTTCTTTTTTCTTGCTGCAGCAGCTGCTTGCGGAATACGTCTCCTCACTGCGGCTCTCTGCAGTCTCTGGCCCGCTCCTTCAGGACCGGTCACTGCAACCATCGCCACCCTCTGCAACCCAGCCCAGGCTGCCCCTGCTTCAGTCCGGCTCTCCAAACCTGAGCACCGCCTTTTATCCAGCCAGCGCCCACTGTCGCTCCCGCAGTTCGGCCACCACAGCTCATTCCATCTCTGCCCAGGCCACAGCCGCTTCTGACATTTTGGTGAGTCTTTTCCCAAGGAGGTGAGATCTAATCTCGTTGATAGCCACCTTAGGCGTGTCCGGTCCTTTGAAAAATGGCCGAGTCCGCCGACTACAAGGATCTGTCAGGATCCAGTCCAGAAGAGGCTGACAGTAAGATAATAATGGAGGCACCTGGGGAACCTCAGGAGTGCGGTGAAGATGCTGCCGCTGGGCCTGGAGATCAGGGGGAGCGTGGTGAAGAAGCCGCTGCCGGGCTTGGCGTAGAAGGGGGAAAAGGTGAAGAGGCTGCTGCAGGATCCGGGAAAGACGGGGAGAAAGACACTGAGGAGAACCCAGACCCAGATCGTCCAAAAGGGCTCATCGGTTATCTTTTAGATACAGACTTTGTTGAAAGTCTACCTGTGAAAGTTAAGTACCGAGTGTTAGCCCTTAAAAAGCTCCAAACTAGAGCCGCCAATTTAGAATCCAAATTCATGAGGGAATTTCATGACATTGAAAGAAAGTTTGCTGAAATGTATCAACCCTTACTGGAAAAAAGACGACAGATCATCAATGCTATCTATGAACCTACAGAAGAGGAATGTGAATATAAACCAGACTGTGAGGACTATGATGAAGAAGACATGGAGGATGAGGAAGATGTGCATGATAATGAGGAAGGCATGGTACATGAGTATGGTGATGAGGATGATGGTTATGATGACTATTATTATGATTATGCCATTGAGGAAGAGGAAGAGGAGGAAGCAGATGATGACACTGAGGCTACTGGAGAAGAGAATAAAGAAGAGGATCCTAAGGGAATTCCAGATTTTTGGCTGACTGTTCTAAAAAACGTGGAAGCACTCACTCCTTTGATTAAGAAATATGATGAGCCTATTCTGAAGCTCCTGACAGATATTAAAGTGAAGCTTTCTGATCCTGGTGAGCCTCTCAGTTTCACACTAGAATTTCACTTCAAGCCCAATGAATATTTCAAAAATGAACTGTTGACAAAGACCTATGTGCTGAAGTCAAGGCTAGCATATTATGATCCCCATCCTTATAGGGGAACTGCAATTGAGTATTCCACAGGCTGTGAGATTGATTGGAATGAAGGAAAGAATGTCACTTTGAGAACCGTCAAGAAGAAGCAGAAACATCGGATCTGGGGAACAATACGAACTGTGACTGAAAGTTTTCCCAAGGATTCATTCTTCAATTTCTTTTCTCCTCATGGAATCAGCTTAAATGGAGGGGATAGGAATGATGATTTTTTACTTGGTCACAATTTACGTACTTACATAATTCCAAGATCAGTATTATTTTTCTCAGGTGATGCACTTGAATCTCAGCAAGAGGGGGTAGTTAGGGAAGTTAATGATGCAATTTATGACAAAATTATTTATGATAATTGGATGGCTGCAATTGAGGAGGTTAAAGCCTGTTGCAAAAATCTTGAGGCATTAGTAGAAGACATTGATCGTTAAAGCAGGGTATATATGGCCATGAAATCACATGCCCTAGAGCTACTTACTCAAGATATAAGAAATTACAATTTTGTGGTCTGTATTTTTCTTGTAGTGTCAGTTAAAACATATGTCTCAGAAATATAAAAAAGGTCAAATAGTAATTAATTTGACATTGCATTTTAATAGTAGAATGTTTTCAAGACATGTAGACTGTGGTAAATGATTTAAAACATTAATATAGTGTTGTGTAGTTTAATCCTTCTGAAGCCCTTTTGTCATGTAACCATGAGACTGTGAATATTATCTGAAATGCTAAATAAGATCAATATTTGTTTGGAAAGAAAATCTTGGGAACAAACCCAAGGGTTTTTGCTGCTGTTGTGTTTTGTATTTTTGTTTTCTTAGTCCTCTAGCTAGTGGATTTAATTTTGTTGTGACTGCTTCATTTTGCAGTAGAAATAAAATAGAATTTAAAACTTGAATGCTTAAGAAGAGGCCTGCATATGGTTAAGAATTTCAAGCAAAACCACATTTATTGTTAGTAGCAGCTTGTGCATAGGCTCTTGAATATGTGACTGTGATAAATAATGAAACTTAGTTGTATTGGTATTACTGTTTATCAGTAAAGTGTTAGTCACAGTATTTTCAGAAGTTTGCCAGTATTGTTCTGTGTAATTGTGTAAACCATGATCCCTTTTCCTATAGTATATTGAATCATTCAAAGTGATAACTTTACCATTTCAAAAATATATTTCATGTTCCTTCCCTGCAAAATAAAATGAATAAAAATTTCAGGGTGTTTAGAAATTTATTTTTTATTATAAAAGTAATATGTTCATTAGAAGACATTTGAAAAATAAAAATATACATCAATTAAAACCAGAAGTAATATACCTACTTTATCAAAGGTAAGTACAGTTAATGTTTTGATATATTTTCTGCATGCAGTACATTTACCAACAGTATACTAAAATGTGCAAAGAAAGTATGACTTTTTGTTACTTATAACTGATCTAATTTTAATTTTAATTCTATCTCCACTCCACAGGCTTGCAGGAAAACAAAAACCTCAATTTTAATCCAGTAAATTTATTATTATTTAATAATTTAAATATTCTTTATAAATAACAGGATCCCCTGTGTTAGTCTATATTTCATATTTCTTATCTATCCTTTCACAAAGTCATCTGGATGTGCAGAACATACATTATTATATCACTGGGATGCAGTACTGTGGACAATGGGATGTGGTTGGTCAGACCTTGTCCCAGAGCTGAATTTCTCTTTTTCATACATGGCAACTCAGAGGCTTGGTTTCTCTCTTTGGCAAACTCTGTGATCCCATCCTTATAGGGGAACTGCAACTGAATATTCCACAGGATATGAGATTGAAAGTCACATTTATCCCCCTACAATAAGAGAAAATTTCTTGGTCCCTAACATACCACATAGGAGCAGAAAGTGTCTGGGGAATGCTAACTGTCTTGTTATTACTGCCTATCTAGTCTTTCATCCCATATGGGTATGATGTAATATCACAGAATTATAAAGCAAGTGGAAATAAAGCTCCTCTGCTTGTGACTTAATTCTTACACTATTGAACATGCCTCCTTTTTTGGATTTTGGCCAAGAGGGTTAGGTTTATAATACTGCCACTTTTTTTCCCCATTCTCTACTATTAGCTGAGGAGGAAAGTATGAACCTATTCTTTCCTCTTCCTGTTTGGACAAAACACTCCTCTAATGTCAAATCCTTCTCCCAGGGATGATGGCAGATATTTACTTGCTTTTCTTTGGGGGTAGAAATAGTTGACAGATTATAGGAAATAGGCAACTATTATAAAGGAACCTAAATAGGAGATACTGCCATTGTTAACCTGGTAAATACAGACATTCTCACATGTTTCACCATCATTAGTCTTGACCTCTGAAATTCCTGACTCCTTCCAAACTCCTCCCACACACAAAGTTGGGGCCACTTTTAACTGTGGCTACTGTTATTGTACATAAAAAAATTAGAACATGGGTGTATCTCTTTAGTGGGCTTGTTTTTATGTGCTTAGACAAAAGTAGGTGGCTTTGTCTCATTTTGTTATAATCCCAGAGTAACCTTGCCTGAACTCAGTGTTCTTTGAAGAGGTTTATATCCAATAGGAAAATAGCATGGCCTAGCTCTGAGTGCCAGGCCAGCTTTCTGATGTCAGGATTGTTTTTTTCTTTCTCTTTTGTCTCAGGGGAAAAATTTGAGGCTCTCTTTGCTCCAATAGCTTGAGATTGGAGGGAGGCTCATTTGATTTAGATTTAAACTAATGTAAGGGTTCTTTAAAGCTTGAGGGTAGGCCACCAGCTTCAGTCCACATACCAGACAGCCCAATGTTGGGGTTTAGGAGCCAAGAGTGACACAAATAGAAAATAAAAATTACATGTCATCCACAGATATATGACAGATTTGATTTTTTAGCACACAGATATATGCAACATGAACCTATTTTAAAGCAGAAAATCTTTTAAAAATTAAGAGGGCTGGGCCTGCAGCTCAGTGGTGGAGCACTTGCCTTGCGTGTATGAGGCACTGAGTTCAATCCTCAGCACCACATAAAAATAAGATAAAGATACTGTGTCCACCTGAAACTAAAAAATAAATATTAAAAAATTTTAAAAAAGAGAGCAACTTTACATGAAGCACCTCTCTGAAATATATTTTCTTTATTTGACAATATAGCTTTTTAATGTAAAAAAGAATGTTCAAAATGAAACAATCTCTGCTATTTAAACCCCTCATTAATGATCCATTTGTTGATTTATTCTTAGTGCATTTTAAAGATAGTAAAAACTCTTGAGGTCACGTAGATCCAATTTCCCCTCACCCTGCTCATTCACACACCTCCACATTATCACTGCTCTCTGCATGTGTGTCTATTGTGTGTGCGTGTGGGGAGATGGACTATGAAGAGGGAGTGAATGAGAAAGGGCAGGTGGTCACAATCCCAGCTCTTCTAAAAAATTCTCTGTGTGCCTATGTTCTGAGAATGAGAGGTGAGCAGAGAAGAGGTTGAATCCTTCCTCAAGGCCCACTTGCCCTAGTGTAAGTCCAATAAATATTTGGCTTTAGAGCCCAAGGGTGTGAGTATATGGGGGCAGGTGGGTTTATGCATGCAATAATCAAAAGGAATGAGTGAATCATCATTCTGGCCCAAGGTACTTTATGAAGCCATGTTCTATGTGTAAGGGTGAGAACAAAGGAAATTTTGGTGGAGGCATACAGGGGTCAGGTTCCTTAAGTTGCTTTCAGTAGGTCAGGAGTAAGTGTAAGTCGCCCACACTGAAGTCCAAGTGGTCTCCTCTAAGGGCCAAAGTGACTATACACTACACAAAGTGTATGGAAAGACAGAGAGCAGGGTACAAAGAGGTTCCTAACTTGATTAGCATCTGACAGATATCCTGGGAAACAAACAAGTGGATGGTGAGAGAAGAATACTAGAAATGGACAATGTAAAAGATTTTGTATCCTTTAAAAAGAATAAGTATCCTTATGGTTAATGAAATATAATGGCATCATGGGCCTGGGACAGATTTGGATCTCAGGTGTACATAAACATAGGTAAGTATAAGTATACAAGAAGTGGTGCATATAATGGGAATGTTAACTAGTTTTGACACCTACTGAACACTTACATGTCAATTCTAATGCAGGTGTATTTGGAAGAAGAATATATAATACGCTAATTATCTACTTATATTTCACTACTTCTGTAAAATAGAGAAGGCATTTGTTAATTTAAACCTTATACCAAAGGCTCTACATCCCCATCAAGTGTATCACTTGACCATGGAAAAATCATTTCCAAGCAGTCTTATTTAGTAAAATTTGTTACAAAATAAACCTTTCATAAGGCAACTTCATGAAAATGGTAAAAGGAAATTCCATTTATATTAATTTTTAAAAATTTCACATTTAACTTGCTTCCTGACTTACACACACACACACACACACACACACACACACACACACACACACACATACACACTCACAGAGTCTGAATGATCCAGGATGAGAGGGAAGCTCAAAGATTCACAGATTTCCAGGAGGTGGAACCAATATTGATGAGTGCTTTATTATATAACATTTCTCCATTAGTTCTCAAGGTAAATGGAGTTAATAAAAAGTGGTATTTTGTAGATGTGTACATGTTCACATCTGTATGTTTACATGCATGTTTTATTGCAGAGTACACTAGTAACAAGTGGAAATAATATTTAGACAATAATCTTTGTTGTCCAAAATATTACCTAGAGTTTGCCAGAAATCTTATGGATAAGAGAAGAGTCAGTGATTAGTGATTGAGTTAGTTCCTTTTCCCATAAGACAAGGTGCTTTTCATTTTACATGTTAGAGGAATTGAAAAGGTTTTCCTTGTCAAGACACATATTGGATAAAATGTGTCAATTAAAAATATTTACATTTCATGTTCAGTCACTAAACCTGCATATTCTTTTTTGTTTTTTGGTAACCTGGACTGAGCCACATCCCCAGACCTTTTATAATTTTTTGAGACAGGGTCTTGCTAAGTTGCTTAGTGCCTTGCTAAATTGCTGAGGCTGACCTCAAATTTGTGATCCTCCTTTCTCAACCTCTCAAATTGATGGAATTATAGGCCTGTGCCACTGTGCCCAGTGCATATTCTTACTATAAGTTAACATGGTGTTTGCAGAGTATTTCAGCATCATGTCCTCACTGTAGTGAGTCTGGATAGGGATGGTACAAATTCATCCTTTTGCATGCGAATATCAAAATTTCTGGCACCATTCATTGAAAAGATAACTTGGCCTTATATGTAAAGATATATTTCTGGGCTTTCTATTCTATCCCACTGGTCTGTAAGTCTGTCTTTATGCCAGACCCACATTGTTCTGTTTAGTATAACTTTGTACTAAGTTTTGACATCAGGAAGTGTGAGTACTTCAATTCTATTCATTTGTTTATTTATTTATTTAGGTAATAAATTAGGGATTGAAACCAGGGGCACTTAACCACTGAGCCACATTCCCAGCCCTTTTTATAATTGTATTTTGAGATAGGGTCTCACTAAGTTTCTTAGGGCCTCACTAAATTTCTGAGGCTGGCCTTAAATTCATGATCCTATAGTCTCAGTGTTGGGGCAGGCCCCAAATGACTATAGTTAGGCTCCCTTGCTGAGGCTTCTGGCAATGTATGTTATGCTTTTAGTGTATGACCATGGCCATGAATTGGCTATGTTATGGTCAATATGTAGTCAAGGTCATAAAAACTCTGATTCAGTGCATGAACTCAAGGTTATAAACATTTGCTTATGAGCATGGTTCCACTGATGTAATCTGTTGGCAGTGGACCTTCTTTGTGTGGCCTGGATATAAAAAAGGCCCAGGGAAAGGACACAGAGGAGTGAAATGAAACTGGCTGGGGGCTAAAACTGAAGTTGGGGGCTGGCTAAAGGCTATTGCCACTTCTGAATAAAGTATATCTACTAACCTAATTGTGTCTTGCATCTTCTTCCACCTGCCAGGAACCCGAATCTGTTTACTGGGTCTGAGCCTCACTCTACACTCAGTCTCTCCTGAGTTGTTGGGATTACAGGCATGTGTCACTGTGTTTGGCTATATATAGCTCTAACTTGATTTATTGAGTGCTTTTGTTAGAAAATGCGTTGAATTTTGCTAGAGACTTTTTCTGCATCTACTAAAATGATAATGTGATCTTTGTCCTTTATTATTAATGTGATATATTACAGTGATTGATCTTCATATGATGAGCCATT